CAGTTATTTCATTTTCTGTCCTACAGTTTCTGTGTGTTGTTTTAATATTTTCCTTTTCTTCACTGATACTTTCTGTTTTAACTTTTGTTTCAAGAGTGTTCATGATCGCTTAATCAAATATTTTTAGAATGGCTACTTTAAAGTCATTCCAACATCTGTGTAATCTTGTCATTGGTGTCTATTGCATTTTCCCACACAGTTAGATTTTCATGACTCTTCATGCGCCAATTAATTTGGGACTACATCCTGCACATGGACTCTAGGCCTTCTTAAGGCATGTGGAGAGCAGTGATATCTGTGTTCAGCAGGCACTCGACCTGCTTAGGTTTAAGCAGCTGACCACGGGCCCATGGTTCAGTGCATACCGCCTTTATGCTGCCCTTGGGTGCGCGCCACCCAGTGGTCAGCCTGGGGCCTGGGCTTTGCACTCGGTGTGGCTTAGTGATCGTCTGTCCCTTCAGATCAGATCCACCCATGCACAGATGGGACCGAGCCTGGGTATCCATAGACAGATCTGTGTGGTCCCTTTCTCTCTGCTGTGTCTTCTCCACTTCCCAGTTCCTGGGACCCCCCTTCTCATCCTCCAGCTTTAAACCACCTGCTTCTGTGACAGGTGCACAGCGTGTAGATGCTGCCCCAGTCGTTGCTGCAGTGCCTCCACTCAGAGGAGCACGATCGTCCCCTTCCTCAGAGTTCCAGCTCTGCAGTTCGCTGTCACTGCTGCCGCTCTGGCCGTATTGCCTGAGGTCTGGGGTCTAGGGACTGCACGAACAGGGAAGAAAAGCCTGGTGGTTCCCCTACTTTCTCTGAACTTCAGGGTTTCTCTTCCCTGCTCCTTGAGCCAGAACTAAAGCGCTTCTCCTGGAACTCTGCTCGCCCCGTCCCACTCCCTTCCTGGCCATCCAGGTTGAGTTCAGGTCAGCAGAGAGGAAAAGCACCGTCAGCTCCACACCAGTCTGGACGACATCTTTGAATTCTGCTGTCCTCCCTGAGGAGCATGGCGGTGGCCGTTTTCCACTTAGATCCCAGGGCCAGCCCTGCCCCATCCCGGTGGCTGGTGCATGGTGGGAGAGAGACAGCAGTGGTCCCTCCCCTGACCTGTGCCTGGGGCCCTCTGTTCTTTTATTCTTTTCACATTGTTGATTGTGATAAAATGCACATAACATAAAAGCTATCATTTGAACCATTAAGAAATTCCCAGCGGGCCTTGAGGAGACCTCATTCTTTTATTTATTTATTTATTCATTTTTTAATTAGAAAAACATTAGTAAAATGCCTGTCATAAAATTAGTCATTTATTATCTGAACGATTGATTTTTGGGGGAGAAGTTTTTGCTATAGGGCGCATGTGCTCGCCATAAGGACAGACGGAGAGACAGAAAGTGAGAGATTACCTTCCTGGGGGATGGCCATGCCACAGTCCCTTCTCCTCCATTCTCCTCTCAGGATCTTGGGCACACACGCACACGCGCCCGGTGTGAGTTTAAGCCACTGGGTCCGGGACTTGAACCGCGGTCGACCACATGGAAGTAGTAAGATCATTTGGTTTGGTGAGACCCTGTAGTTGTGAATTTTAACTGGCAATATCGACATGAGCTCCTCATGCATTTTAACTTCAAGTATATCTATATTTGTTTATCTATAGGTATTGATTAGAGCTCTCTGCTCTCTCTCTGTATGTGTGCATTTCCAAACGGGCACACACAGTGCTGCCCTAGTTGTGCTGCAGGCGCGGGGCAGGCATGCATGAGTTGAGCTGGGAACACCTTGTTAAAGCAGACAGCGAGGTGGCCACCCCAGCCTTGTTTTCTTGTCTGAGAGGCTCGGGAGCCAACTAGCACTCGAAGCCCTCGCTGGCCAAAGAGGCCCCTGAGAGCGTCCTGTGCACAGGGACTGGGGCGGGCTGCAGCCCATGACATACAGCTCAGTCCAGGAGTTCACAAGGACATTTTAACAAGCCATCATTTTGACACCATAAGCAAAGGCAAGAAGGGAGAAACAGAGCAGCTGGACTTCATGGCCGTCAACCCTCTGGCACACCCAAGGGCCCCTCAAGAACCCAAGGGCCCCGTCAAGAGCAGAGACAACCTGCAGACTGGGAGGGACGGCCGTCAACCGCGTGTCTAAGGGGGTAGGACCCGGACTGTGGCCCCAAGACGCCTCGCTCCAACGGTGGGCAAAGGGGCGGCTCCGTCACTTCTGCAGAGAGGACAAACGCGTGGCCGGCAAGCACGTGAGGATCTGCTCACCGTCACTAGTCATGAGCGCAGTGCAGGTCGAAACTGCTGGGACCGGCAGGTGGTGTAGCAGTTCCGTTGCTGGACTCTCACACGGCCGACTGTGGTTCGGGTCCCGGACTCAGTGTCTTGAAAATCACACCGGGCGCATGTGCATGCATGCTAAAGATCCCGGGAGGAGGGAACCAGCAGTTAGCATAATGGCTATGTCGCTGGACTCCCACGTAGTCGACCGCGGTTCGTGTCCCAGACCCAGGGGCTTAAAACTCACACCGGGCGCATGTGCGTGCATGCCCAAGATCCCGAGAGGAGAATGGAGGAGAGGAGGAGAGTGGAGGAGAAGGGATTACCGTGTGGCCACCCACCCCCAGGATGATTTCTCACTTTTCCCTCTCAGTTGTCTCTCTCTGTCTCTCTCTCTCTGGTGAGTGCACATGCCCTAAGGCAAAGGCCTCTTAAAAAAAAAAAAGGAAAGAAAGTGCCGAGGGACGCCTCCTCACATCCACCAGGATGGCTGGGGTGAGGAGGGCCTGAGCAGTGCTGGCCGGGGTGAGGGCAGAGGGTTGACGTCCATGAAGTTCAGTTGCTCCTGCGACACTGGCCCCACCCGGGCAGGTGCGCTGGCACAGCTGCTGTGGGACAGTCCGGTTCCTCCCACGTGCGCAGATGGTAACCGCAGGCCCAGCAGTTCCACTCCTAAGTGTAGACCCAAGAGAATCGAAAACAGATGTTCACCCGGCAGCTCAGACGTGGATGTTCATAGGACGTACTCATAGTAGCCTGAAGCAGTCCGCCAGCTGGCCAGTGGCTAAATCAGTAAGCAGCAGTAGTGAGGTGGGCCGTCTGAGCATCCTGCTGGGTGAAAGAACCAGATGCGAGGGGCCGCAGAGCACGTGACTCCGTTTCTGTGAAATGGCCAGATAGGCACGGCCATGGAGGTAGAGAGCCAGTGAGCGGTGCCAGGGCTGTGGAGTGGAAAAGGGGAGAGACTGCTCTAGGAGCAAGGTCTCACGTGCAGTTGTGGTGGTGGCTACACAATCCTGCAGGTACCCTAACAGCTACTGAACTGGACACTTAGGGTGAACTTCATGGTATGTGAGGGACAGCTCAGAAAAAAGAGAACCCCCAAACCCACTAATGGCCCAGCAGTATAGCTGCATGTGAAGGGCGTGGCCTGGGAGAAGCACTCAGGGCTAAATAGCAGTCTGCACACAGGCTGCCCCGAGCCCGGAGGGGGCCTGTGCTCGGCACGCTGCAGAACCAGCCAGCAGGGCCAGTGGTGGCATGGAGGTGAAGGCACTGGCTTCCACGTGGTCTGCTGCACAGCTCCTGCCCTGGACTCAGCAGCTTAAAAACATGCTGGGTGCGAGCATGTGCGTGTTCAGAATCCCGGGGGGAGGAGGGGAAGGAGGAGGAGAGACTGCGATCTGGCCATCCTCCCGGGGGGATGCCTTCTCACTTTCTCTCCTTTCTACCTCTGGGGAGCACATGTGCCTTGTAGCAAAGTGAAAACAGTAAAAATAAAAGAACCAGCCAGCAGCCTGGCTTGGCTGGAATGGAGGGGTGGGGCTGTGAGGATGAAGAGCAGGGCCAGTGCCTCAGGTGGGCGTTGGAAGCTGGGGAGGCTTGGGGTGCCACTAGGGGGCTATGAGCTGAGGGCTAACCGCTTCCCATTCAGCGTCACAGTGACAGCTGTGGCCATGGCATGAAGGAAAAGGCTGGGTGGGATGAGGTGGTCTGCAAGTCACCCCTTGGTGGGCTTGGGCGGTGCCCAGGGTGTGTGGTACTGGTGGTGGTGGGACAGGTGGAAGGGGTGACCATGTTTGGCCAAGCCTACCTGCTGATGGATGGAGTGGGGTGGGGGCAGCCAGATTTGTGGGCTTGGCCTTTGGCTACAGGCAGAGAAGAGATGGGCAGGCTGTGGGCCACAGGTGGGGTTTCGTGAGTGACTGCCAGCCAGCCTGGGGCTGGTGCTATACCTAGTGCTCCAGGGGCCCTGTGTGGGTAAGGCCTCGGCCCCAGGGAGCTCACAGGGAGATGCAGACCGGGACTGCCCAGTGGAATTGGTGGCTTGGTCATAGCCTGGGCCTAGGCCGTGCCATGAGGATGGGGCGGGGACTATTGGAGCTGCTAGGTCTCCTCTCTAGACATATCGCTGCTCTACCTATGCCCCAGGGCTGTCCTGCAAGTGGGTCCCTCGGGCGTATGGGGAGAATGGATCAGTGGGAAGTAATGAGGGTTCTGAGAAGCCAGTGGCAGGCTGAGATCATGGAGCTGGAAGCTTCTAGAGGAACTGGTCATGTCAGCGTGGTCACACAGGTGGGAGGTGGGCCTAGAGCAGAGTGTGCCCCAGGAACACCTTGGGCCCCTTGCTTAGGCCTGGTTTCCACTCTGACATGTGAGCCCAGGTCTGGGCAGCTCCCTCAGGAGGAGTGCCAGTTACCCTCCGAGCAGGTGGGTGGGCAGGAAACTGAGTCTTCCACTTCCACGGCTATTCCCAGCTGGGAAAGTGACCTGCTGAGGAGAGCAGGCTTCACACTGTGGGTGTCCCCGAGGAATGTGGGCCAGGCCCTGCTGTAGGCTGCACAGCATCAAGGCATGCGGTTGGCTGTTTGAGGAGTTCTCACTGCTGGTTCCCACGGCCCTGTGGGCCTGGCAGGGGCCCTCCATGGCAGTAGCCCCCAAGACTGACGTCTCTGAGCCAGTCCGGGAGGTGGCCAGTGGGACCAGGTGAGCAGGTGAGTCTGTGCTTTCCCTGGCCAGGGCCGTGCCGACCCCCTGCGGCAGCTGCACTTCCTGGACGAGTTGCTGGATGTGGTCCAGAGCCTGACGGTTGGATGCGCTGGTTGCCCCAGGTAGGAGTAGGGAGGGCTCGCCTGGCCCCTAGATCTGGATCTGCTGCGGTGGGCGTTCAGTTCTTGTGCAGTCTCACTCTCCCCCCTGCCACACTTGGGGAGCTGGCCAGTAGGTCGGGGGCCAGGCATTGTGCGGTGAGGGGGGCTGCATCCCAAGGGAGCTGGTCGTGGCCCGTGGCCCTGGGTGTGCAGGCAATCTCAAGGTGCAGCATTGCCTCCGAGAAGATGGGGCCACGCTGGGGAGTGCAGACTGGACAGGCTTCCCAGATAGGCTGAGGTGGGCAGTGGCTGCCTGCTCTCGTTTTGCCCCTTGGGTCTCCCCCAGTCGGCCAGTTCTTGGCCTGTGACACCTGGCCCTGGGGCTCCCTTTGCAGCTCGAAGGAGTACTTTGAGGACACGAGGGAGAAGCATGAAGCATTGCTGGGGGAGCTCTTCTCCAGCCCCCACCTGCGGGAGCTCCTGAACCCCGAGTGTGACCCGTGGCCACTGGACATGCAGGCCCTGCTCAGCAAGCAGAGTGACGACTGGCCCAGGTGCGTGCCCCATGCCCCCACCCTGCCCTAGCTATAGCATTACTGGAGCTGTCACCCACAGAACTTGTGTGTACGGAGTACTATCCCTGCAGGGCTGGTCCCTCTACGGAGTTCGAGGAGGAACAGGTGGCGGGGCTGACCAGGCAGCTGGAAGAGACCATCTCCACATTGCAGGCTCTCAGGGCAGAGGTGAGGGGTGCTAGCTTTGTGTCCCAGGGCATGTGACGTCCCCTCCCTGCCATGGTATGCTGTGAAGCTTACGGAAGGTGGCTTGTACGCAGGGTCTGACTGTCTATAATGTGGTGGGTGCTTGGTCCCGTGACGGGTGAGAGGTGGGTGTGGGAGCCGGGCCCCCGGGAGCAAAGCACTACAGCCAGCCAAGCTTTCCCAAGAGCAGAAAGTACCAACCCAGACGGCAGGCTGCTCACCAGGCCTGAGGCCCTAGGCCTTCACGTGCCTCGTGGCATGCGGCACTCCTGGCAACCCTTGGCTCATTGTCCTGATTACATTACAGGGCAGCTGAGTGAGGCTGGGAGGTCTGGCCCTAGACCCAGGTGCTCTCTTCCGCCCCTCCACCCCTGGTGTGGCAGTATTCAGGAGGGGGCTGGCTATACCAGGCAGCCACAAGGGACTCTGGCCTCTGGCTTTGCAGTGCTTTGTGCAGCACAAGCAAGGGGCCGCCACGGGTGGGCCCGACCCCAGCACCCTGGACCAGAAACTGCGCCTAGTCCTCTCCGACTTCCACCAGCTCATCTGGGCTTTTCTCCAAGTCTACGATGACGAGCTGGGCGAGTGCTGCCAGCGCCCGCGCCCCAGGCTCCACCCCTGTGGCCCCCTCGTCCAGGCTGTGTACCAGACTCTGACCTCCTGCAGCCAGGTAAGCATCCTCTCTCCCTGACCTGCCCATGCTGACCCAGAGTTCGTGCCTTGCCTGGCTCGGGCCTCCACAGCTGCCACAAGGGTGGGTTGGTTTGGCCTCCTCTCCTGGTGCCACAGTATTAACTAAGCCAAGACCTTGGCCCTGAAGGGCTTCATGTGTTAGCCACATTGGATCCTTCTTGACTCCATGTGAGATCCTCATCTGAGCCCCTAGCTTCTGCCCGTGTTGGGCTCACTGTGTTTCCACATTAGGCCCAAACCTATCCAGGCTCGTTCATCCTTGGGTATGACCAAGAACTGTGCTGGACAAGTAGACCACGGCTTGCCTGTCCCAGCCTTGAGCCAGTGCAGCCAAGATAGGAGCCGCTGAGTAAAGGAGTCCTCACCTGTTCACGTTTCAGTCCCCAGAGGCACCAGCCTGAGAAGCCAGGGAGTTTCGCTTCCCAAAGACTGCCACAGTTGCAACTCTGGCTCAGAGGGATCCTTGAGCTCTTTTAGCAGGCGCTCCTGGACTTCCTAGGAGCCTGTTTTGGCACATTTATTTTCCTACCCTGCCATTTACTTGGCTTGTGTTGGAACAGCACAGTGTTGGCATGTCACTGGGCATCGAGGGTTGTCAGAGCGACATGATCGTGTGGCATCGCCAGGCTTGGTGGAAGGGGACTTCGAGTTAAGAACTGTCTAGCTGGGAGTTCCGACCCTCACCCTTTGCTGTTCTTGGGTAAATGCCCACATGCTCTTTCCCACCCGCAGCTGCTGAAGGCGGTGGTTGAGGTCACGGAGCGGCAGGGGGGGGGACAGACCTGCCGAGGCAGCAGACCTGCCGAGGCAGCATTGGCTCTGCAGTGAGTCTAGGTATGTGGCTCTGTACGCTGCAGAGGGCACAAGTGACGATGGGTGAGTGGGACATTCTAAGGGTGAAGATGACCCCTGCGCTAGTGGCCTGGGGCTACCCAGAAATACCCATCGTTAGCACTTGGGGCTGTTTCCTTTTATTCTTTTGGCTATTAGCATTGCTTGTTTCTTTGTCCAAGTCCGGAGTAATCAGAACTTGTAGATGGTTTACTATTACTGTGACTCCAGGTTTCCCAAGTAACAGTTTGTTTTCTTTTTAGAGAGAGATTTTTGCTATAGGGCACGCGTGTTCGTTGGAGAGACAGAGGCACAGAGACAGAAAGTGAGAAATCACCCCCGGTGGGATGGCCACGCTGCAATCCCTTCTCCTCCATTCTCCTCTCTGGATTTTGGGCACCCATGCACATGTGTCCAGTGTGAGTTTCAAGCTGCCAGGTCTAAGACTCAAAGTGTGGTCGACTATGTGGGAGTCCAGTGATGTAACCATTATGCCATCTGCTGGTCCCACCCAAGTAACAGTTTTTTTGGAGAGGTTTTTGCTATGGGGTGTGTGGGCTCGCCAGAAAGAAAGAGAGAGACAGAAAACGAGAAATCACCCCCCAGGGGCGATGGCCACGCTGCAATCCCTTCTCCATTCTCCTCTCGGGATCTTGGGCACACACGCACATGCGCTCAGCATGAGTTTAAGCCACCGGGTCCGGGACTCGAACCGCGGTCGAATACATGGGAGTCCAGTGACATAGCCATTACGCTAACTGCTGGTCCCCTAAGTAACAGTTTTAATTGCCAGATGCTAGCCGCTCAGGCATTTGCTATAATTTGCTTAACATTTTCTTTTACTGAGTCAGCAGGCCATTTCCAGTTCTTTGCTGTTTCACATAATGCTGTCATCGGACTCATAAGAGTGAGAAACTGGGACTAGTCGAGTGTCCAATGGCAGGCCACACGGGTGATAGGGCACTCTCTGTGGTGGTGTACTACTCCACTGTTGAAGGAGTTGGCTATTAGGACAGGAGGAAGTGCGTGTTGTACAACATTCAAGGGAAAGTGCCGGGTGGACCCAAGTGTGCAGTGTAAACTCGCCTTTGGAAAAGCAGCAGCCGTCACAGAAGGCCGGGGAGAAAACGAGCCAGAATGCTGCCACTGCTGATGAGGTTGTGTGCTGGGGTCTGAGGAGGCAGCATCGTTTTCCTGTGTCTATAGACAGTCCCTGGTGGACACTGTTATTAGGCTGTTTCCCCTTAATTACCAGTCTTTAAAAGAGGACCCAGGGAACATGGGTGCACATAAAGTATGCCCCTCCTCGCAGTTGGCATGGACAGAGATCCTAGATTTGTGTGTGTGAGAGTGAGATCCTCCTGCCTCAGCCTCCCGGGTAGCTGGGACTATAAGCACATGTCACCGAGCCCAACGACAATTTTGGGTTCTTATGAGTATATAAGTGTTCTTGAACAGTTCTGCTTGTGCATGTGCGTGTCCATGTCTTTGGATGTCTTCCTAAGAGTAGAGTTACTGGGTCACATGGGGTGGTCACCATGCATGTTGCCTGCCATCCCCAGCAGCCTATGAGGTATCCCATTGTTCCACATCCCCTTCAGCTCTTTTGCTTTTTTTCATCATTTTTTTTAGTTTGCTGTAGGGGACTTGCACTCACTGGAGAGAGACTGAAAGAAAAAGTGAGAAAGCACCTCCTGGGAGGGATGGCCACAGTGCAGTCTCTTGTTCTCCATGCTCCTGTCGCGATTTTGAGCACACACATACATGCACTTAGTGTGTCTTACAAGCTGCTGGGTCCAAGACTCATGCAGTCAGTCATATGGAATTCAGTGCTTTTACCGCACCACCTGCTGGCCCAGTATGGCCTAACTTTCTAAATGGCACCTATTTGGTAGCTGTGTAATGGTGTTTTCTTGGTTTTGCTTTTTCATACATTCATATGACATTGAAGTTTTCTCTTTTGGGAAGTGCCTGTTTAAGCCTTACTGATTTTTCTGTTGGGTTGCTTGTCTCTTTCTCATTGATTCGCACCCTTTTTCATATTCTGGATACCAGTCTTAGAATGCTCAAGGTATGGCGTATGTCTTCTGCTGCGTACCTTACCTCTTTTATGTGGTCTTTTGATGTACAGTAGTTTTTAATGTAAATGTCAGATGTAGCTATTGTTTCTTTTCTTTCTTTCTTTTTTTTTTTTTTTTTTAAGGTTTTTGTCATAGGGTGTGTGTGCTCTCAGGAGAGAAACAGAGGAGAGAGATAGCAAAAGGGAAAATTTAAAAAGTCACCCTTAGGAGGATGGCCATGCCACAATCCCTTTTCCTCCATTCTCCTCTTGGGCTTGTACACACATGCACCCAGCATGACTTTCAAGCTGTCAGGTCCAGGACTCGAACCATGGTTGCCATATGGGAGTCCAGCCCCTTAACCACCACTCCACCTGCTGGCTCTGCCATCATTTCTTTATGCATAGTGCCTTTAGTGCCTTACTCTGATATTATGAAAGTATCCTCTTATATCTTCTTCCAAAAACTTTATAGCATTACCTTCTATACATAAGTTCGTAATCTTTGTATAGTTGATTTTTGTATGTGGTATGAGGGTGGGGGTCCAGTTTCATTTTATTCTTATGGATACACATTTGTCCCAGCACCATTTGATGTAACTACTGTTTCTTTTATTGAGCCTCCATTGACCCTCACCTCTGTTAGTTATTTAATATCCATATATCTGTGTTTTTTTTTTTTTAATTCTGTTTCTTTTTTTCTGTCCCTGCACCAATACCGTATTTCAGGCAGTTAGGAAATAGATGACAAAATGAAGCCAAAGAAAGAAGGTATAGTCAGTTTTTCTACCTTGTACTTTTTTTTTTCTTTTTTTTGAGAGGTTTTTGCTATAGGGCATGTGCGCTCGCCAGAAAGACAGAGACAGAGAGCGAGAAAGCAAGAAATCACCCCCCAGGGGGGATGGCCACGCCACAATCCCTTCTCCTCCATTCTCCTCTCGGGATCTTGGGCACGCACGCACACGTGCCTGGCGTGAGTTTAAGCCACCGGGTCCGGGACTCGAACCGTGGTCGACTATGTGGGAGTCCAGCGACAGCCATTACGCTAACTGCTGGTCCCACTACCTTGTACTTTTTAAAAATTATTAACAGTTTCACTGAGGCATAATTCACATAACATGAACTCTTCTCTTAAAAGTTTAAAATGCAGGGGTTTTTAGGATTTCACAGAGTTATGCAACCTTCAGCACTAAGAACATTTTTAGCACTCTAGGAAAAAAACCCATACTAATAGCAGTCACTCGCCATTCTCCCCTCCAGCACCTGGCAAGCACTAATCTGCTGTCTGTCTCTGTGGACTTGCCTCTTCTGGACATTTCCTACAAATGGAATCATGCAACTTGCCTTTTGCGTCTGCCTTCTTTTGCTGGGCATAATGTTTCATAAAGTTAATTCATGTACTTCATTCTTTTTTTTTTTTTTTAAGAGATTTTTTGCTATAGGGTGGGTGCATTTGCCAAAGAGACAGAAAAACAGAAAGTGAGAAATCAACCTCCAGGGAGGATGGCCATGCCACAATCCCTTCTCCTCTGTTCTCCTCTTAGGATTTTGGTGTGAGTTTCAGGCTGCTGGGTCCAGGACTCAAGCTGTAGTTAGCCATATGGGAATCTAGCTCCTTAACCATTACACCACTTGCTGGTCCCACTTGATTCGTTTTCATGGCTAAACATATTCCGGTTTTGGATATACTGTATTTTGTTTATCTATTCGTCTGTTGATAGACATGTAGGTCTTTTCAACTTTTTAGCTGTCATGAATAATACTGCTATGAACATTGTGTATGAGTCTATGTGTGGACATAGTTTTTCAGTTCTCTTGAGTCTATACCTAGTAGTGGGATTGCTGGGTTATGTGGTAACTGTTTAATTTTTTGAGAGATTCCCAGACCTTTTTATCCATTCTATCAATCTCTGCCTTTTGATTGGGTTTTCTAATCCATTTGCATTTAATGTGATTACCAATGAGGTATAGCATTTATGCCCTTTAGGGACCAGCAGATGGTGTAATGGTTACATTGCTGAACTCCCATATAGTCAGTGTGGTTCAAGTCTTAGACCTGGAGGCTTAAAACTCATGCCAGGTGTGTGTATGCCCAAAATCCTGAGAGGAGAATGGAGGAGAAGGGATTGTGGCATGGCCATCCTCCCAGGGGGGA